ATGAGGACCACGCGTCCCGACGGGTTCCACATCGAGGTCACAGACCCGAATGTGACTGCTTCATTGCAGTGGTGGCATGCGCTCATCAGAGCCATCTCCACCGACCGAATCATCACTCGCCGGAAGGCTGAGTTCGTTGCCAATCAGAGAAGTATTGTGTTTCGCAATCACTTCGAGCTTGGGAAGGCCGAGAAAACGCTCACGGTGCCGCCTGCAAGTCAGCGCATCCTCGAGCCGTTGGACCATGCACCCGAGCTCCCGGCGGAAGCCAGGGAAGAGGATGAGCAGATCGTTCTCGACCATCCTCTTCTGATGATGATGCCTGAGCCGGTGGATGACCTTGAGCTCAAGCCGGAAGGCTCTGAAGAGGTGACACAGGTTGAACATGTACTGTTTAGCCGTGATGTTGGGTCAGAGCTGCCTCTCGACCTTGTCGCCGTCGACCCTGAGGCGCAAGAGGACTGCACGAGATGTCATCAATACCACCAATGTGCTTATCCCAGATGACGATGCCATCGAGAGGGAAGTCAATGACGGCATCCCCACGGTGTGGGACGAACCCCCAGAGGTTCCGGCATCGGAAGATGACCGCAGTCTTCCCAAAGGCACAGTCGGGTACTCGCAGGCACTTCGCCGAATCGGATCGACGCCCAAGTCGAAACCCGATCCTGCCAAGCACAGGAGAATCTCGGAGCCAGCCGAGACCGACGATGAAGAGGATGTCGTGATGGACCTGGATCCTGACGACACTGCTCAGCCGTCGGAAGACGCTGCTGGTGATTTCGAGCCGTTCTTCGAATGGTGGGGCTATGAGGACATCCCCGATTTTGCCCCGAGCCATCGCTACATGACGGATGGCAAGCGGCGAGCATTGAGCAATGCCATGAGCTTTTTCCTTCGTGGCTTCGCGAATAGTGCAGAGTCACAGGCACAACGGCGGCCACCGCCCATGATGACCTTCGACCCCGCAACGCGGGAGGTCGAATGGGACCACTTCAAAGAGCAATTGGGCAAGCAGTGGCGCGGTCTCCGGTCGGAAGACGTCATGGAAGTCGTGAAGTACGGTAACCGCGACAAAGATGACAGTGGACGCTTTGAGTTGCGCGTCCTCCACTTCATCGACCACACTGAGATTCATGGAATCCGTGCATTCCAGGGGCACTGCCGCGATCTCATCTCTGACGAGACTGATCTTGTGGATATGCACAGTGACAGCTATGCTTTGTGTGACGACTACCGTCCCACCATGCACACGCGTCCTCCTGTGGGAGTCACTGGCCACATCCACAACGACTGGGTCAGAATGCATCCGATCGGGTACCATGCAACGTATTGGAGCAATTTTTCCAATATTGTTAGCACCGGTCTCATCCCAGGCGGTGTCACCCTCGGCGGAAGCACGGGGAGAGCCTTCACCATGATGGCTTGCCTCCCTCAGTGGGAAAGGCCAAACAACGCCGGCCTGCGACCTGGCGCTGAGGTTGAATTCGCTATCGACCTCCAGCTCGCGTGCCTGGAAGGGTGTCGCATTCTCCTGACAAAGAACAATGTTCTGCAGACCCCAGATTGGTTGTCCAATCGCTACCTTATGTTTGCTTACGATCGCAGAACCGGGAAACCTGTATGGTTTAACTGCTCGTACGAGCTCACGCGAGCTCGGGTGTCCAAAGCCCGCGATGCATATGTCAAGCGTCAGGAAATCCTGCCGGTCTTCAACCAAGACCTCATCGAACGCGCAGCGGAAGCTGACGCTAATTGCATCATGGATTACGTTGATCTCTGTTACCCGATCCACAATGAAAATTTGGACTGGGTTGAGTTCTTGGGTATGTTCATGGACATGGAGAAGCCCTCGCACTTGCGTGAGGTTGAGCAGTTTCATGTTGATGGTCGTACCATCTGCTTTGAGCAGGGTAGTCCGCTGGAGGGAACTCCGTGCGAATGGACCTTGGATGCCCAGGTCTACTTTTCGCCAATCGGGCTGACCACCGAGCGCCCGTCGCGTGTGGAGCGCAAGCACTACTCAGTGTGCCTCAACGTCAGCTTCCCAAAGCTGCGTTGCCCTGATGATAGGTGCAGGTCTCAGATGCTTGACGGCTATCTTCATTGCCCCCGCTGCCAGCGGAAGTTGTTCAACCCGAGCGACATCTCCCACATTGCGGAGCTGGCTGATCTGCGGGCGGAAGCCGTGCAAGGTGGAGCTAACCACAGCCTCCACTATTTGGCACCGAAGGCCGCCATCAACACGCGCCCACACGAGCACACACGTCAGGGTGCCGATGTGAAGAAGAGCATCGCCGCGACACTTAAAGAAAAGTGCAAGAAAATGGTGGCGAAAGCGGCAGAGGGAACGCATGGCTCCTTGCGCCAGAACTTGAAGTACGAACCCTTTAGCGCATTCAATGTGTTTTCTACGGGGATGACGGTTACTTCACTCGACGAGATCGAGATGTTCGCGCGCTTGCGACTTCCCGCCCCAGGAATGGGGACGGAGGCTAAGAGAGGCTTTGCAGGATCTCACACATCCGATGCACGCACTGCCCTCATTTTTCCTCCTGTCGATGATGTGATTCGCGGGGAGTACAACTATCAGAGGAACATTTTTCTTGAGCTGGCCAGCCACTGCTACTTTTGTTTCCAGGATCGTTTTTACCTGGTCCCCGAGATCGCAGTGTTGATCCGAGCCACTCAGATTGCCTCTGAGGTACGCCGTGTGCGTCCTTTCAGCATCCTCCGCCATGACGGCGTCGAGTACCAGACCGTGACCGGTACTGTTCCTGAGATCATGGCCGACCTAGTCGGCATGCTCCGCAACAACGCACAGTATGCTCTCACCCAGAAAGAGCGCAATCAGCAAAGGGTGACTGTGCAGGTCGGAATCGGACAGACTCCGTTGCAAATCCCAGCATCCCTGGGGACAATGGGCAGGTCACAGATGCTCGAGCTACTTGGCGGTACGCGGTTCAGTGTTGAGCGTACCCGCGGCTGGATCAATCGCGAGGTGGAAGACCGAATGGTCCGACATGGTGCCACTCCCATTGGCGCCATGCGTGTGCCACCTCCACCGCCGTCACCATCCGGAAGGACTGGTCCTGACTCGTCGCTGCCCGCAGCAACACCCAGTGTTCGGCCCCCACCGGCTCCTCCGAGCCGAGGTCGCTCACCTGGCGGTGCAGCTTCGTCATCTACGGATCGTCCAGCAAGCACTTCTGTTCCAAAAGCTGCAAAGACGAAGGCAAGGCCGGCATCTGCCCGAAGCATCACGCCGCCTCCTCCTAAGCCCAGTGCTAACAGGCCAGTGCAGCCGCCGCACCCACCAGCTGCAAAAGCTGTTCCGAAGGCTGACGCCGTTCGTGCGCCTGAGGAATACATCACTGCTGATGAGTGGGACAGCTATTTTGCCGGTCGTGGCGAGGTTAGAGGTTTTGCTGTAGGTGATGCACCTGCACCAATTGCCGCCCCTGCGGGGTCATCCACTGATGAACCATCTGCCTCAGCCGCCGGAGGGCGTGCTCGCACTCGCTCACCGCGCCGCCATGACTATGGTGGTGGTCGAGACTTCCAAGAGGCTGCGAACGACAGGTTGCGTCACCTGCGCCTGTGTGATGAGGCGATTGAGCAGCAACTCGAGAACCTGACGGTCACTCTCCCAGGCTTCCCAGCTGATCGCCTAAGAGAATGGATTGATCAAGACGGGAACGGATTCGATCCATCCCGACCAATGCCTCGCAATTGCACTCGCACAGATGCTTGGTATTGGGGAGTCCTCCGTGCCCGTTACCTTGAGGAGCTATCGCCCACTGATGTGCCTTTTGTCATTCCCGCTTACACCGACCGGGAGGTTCTGGTTCAACATCCTGTTGAGCAAATCGCCTGGTTCCTGCGCGGATGGGAGGAGTATCGCCAGGACTCCAATGGAGCATGGTACAGGGCATACTAGCCTATTGCATCCGACACCGGAAGGTGCTCCGCGTCTTGAGGGCACCGTGTCAGGAGATGCACGAGTCGCGCGCAACAGCGACTTGCATTTTGATCCGTTTTTCTGCAGCTCACCGCATTGACGTGCCGGTTCATCCATCCAAAGCCTTTTGCATCGGCATGCCCATGCATCACCGCCCTGACGGGTTGGTTTGCTGACCTGCTCAGTGGAGTGATTTGAGCTAGCATCTCAGATTCTTTTGGAAGCCTCGCAAAGCGAGTGCTGCCTGTGTGTAGCGTAGATTAGTGATACCTCCTCCGCTGCGCTTCAATGCGCGGGGGTGTTTTTATCCTGTTCATACGTTTGTCTTACTGTCTTACCTACGCTACCGTATGGCTCAAGTGTGAAAACAGTCCGTGCTTTCCGCTGTTAACAATACCTCTAGATCCCTTAAAGGAGCCCCGAAGGCCCCTCTAGATCCCTTAAAGGAGCCCCGAAGGCCCCCAGAGATCCCTTAAAGGAGCCCCGAAGGCCCCTATAGATCCCTTAAAGGAGCCCCGAAGGCCCCTATAGATCCCCTAAAGGAGCCCCGAAGGCCCCTATAGATCCCTTAAAGGAGCCCCGAAGGCCCCTAAAGATCCCCTAAAGGAGCCCCGAAGGCCCCTATAGATCCCTTAAAGGAGCCCCGAAGGCCCCTATAGATCCCTTAAAGGAGCCCCGAAGGCCCCTCTAGATCCCTTAAAGGAGCCCCGAAGGCCCCCAGAGATCCCTTAAAGGAGCCCCGAAGGCCCCTATAGATGCCTTAAAGGAGCCCCGAAGGCCCCTATAGATGCCCTAAAGGAGCCCCGAAGGCCCCTATAGATCCCTTAAAGGAGCCCCGAAGGCCCCTATAGATCCCCTAAAGGAGCCCCGAAGGCCCCTATAGATCCCTTAAAGGAGCCCCGAAGGCCCCTATAGATCCCCTAAAGGAGCCCCGAAGGCCCCTATAGATCCCTTAAAGGAGCCCCGAAGGCCCCTATAGATCCCTTAAAGGAGCCCCGAAGGCCCCTATAGTATCTTCTGAACGCTTGCGTCAACGAAGGACCTTCGAGGCTTTCCACTCGTCGTGACCGAGGACAGGTGCAGATGTGTGAGAAAAGAAGACGACTTGTGGGGGGTTCCGAGGGCTCCTTTTGAAAGGGGTCTATAAGGGCTACTACAATGGGCTATTATAGGGAGGTAATATGGGGGACGGGGCCTTAATGGTTACCGATACTGTTTTTCGGGGTTTCCTTGTAATATGTATAAAATCGACCCTATAAAGCCCATGTGTCTTTTCGTTAAGGTTTAGGGCTTATGGTTTTCGGGTAGAGCCTCTTATACCGGCGCTGTTGGAGCTGGTTCTGTCCTTGCTAAGCACTCTGTGTGGTGGAGTGTGCAAGACGACAGGCATCGCTGAACCCTAAGCCTTAAACCCTAAGCACTAAACCCTAAACCCGAAGCCCTCCAAACCTGAAGCCCTAGGCCCTAAACTTACCTTTGGTTAGTAGGGAATGGAAGAATGGTAGTAATTAATAGTAGTTATAATTGTACCCCATTCCTCCATTCCCTACTAACCAAAGGTAAGTCTAGATTTCAAGCATGTTTTTGACATGGGATAGAGAGTTTAGGGGATGTCTAGGGTTGAGGATTGAGAGTTTAGGGTTGAGGGTTCAGAGGGCGTAGAGTTGCTTCCTCCGGTATACCCGAAGCCAAAGCCTGCCAGGACACCGTGGCAGAGGGCAAGCTCGAGGTCTACCCCCGCACGGTAGACCGGGGAGAGGACCGCTCTTTGCTTACGCCGAGGGCTCCTTAAAGGGATCTATAGGGGTTTCCTTAAGAGGGATCTATGGGGTTTAGGGTTTAGGTTCTACTTGAAGGCTCATGGGACTTAGTAAGTAAGGTTATAAGTAGGTTATAATTAGGATAACCCCACTTAGGGGACTTATAACCCCAATTATAACCTACTTACTAAGTCCCATGATCCTCTAAGTATCCCGAGGGTTCAGGGTTTGGAGCTTAGCTTCTGCCCGTTTTAATGCACAGACCTGTAAAATCAGAAATCAAGATTTCAATGTAAGAAAGTCTCATAAAGGCTGTTAGAGCCCTTTAGAACCCTTTTAGAACCCTCAACAACCCTTTTAGAATCCCTTTAATTAAGGGGGCCCTAGGGGAGCCTTGCGCCAGGCGCTGGAGCTGCCAAAGTGGGATAAGGCCCAGTCGATTTTCGCGTCCTGGAGAGAAGCAGATCTGGTCGGGGACTCTGAAGGAGTTGAGGTTTCATGAGGGGTTCAGGGCTTGGGGTATAGGGTGTAGGGATTTAGGGTTTAGGGGGTTATAGGGGTTTAGGGGCATAGGGGGTTAGGGTTAATGGATTTGGGGTGTAAGGAGTTAGGGGTTGAGGGGATTAGAGGTTTAAGGTCGAGGGGTTTAGGGATTTAGGGTTTAGAACAGTTGCTATGGTTATGCTTTCCGGTTCCCTCTACTGTAAGTATTCTAGAATACAGCCCTCATGACTACAGAGGCCTCAGTGCAGCAATGTGTGTCTGGTTGCATCAACATGAAATTTGGCACAGTTTGTTGATTGTACCGGATTTCAGTCGGGGCGGCGGATGTTTGTAGAAGTTGTTGCACTTCTGTTACCATCGAGAAACTTTAAGCCTTAAAGCCCTAAAGCTCTGAACACCAAACCCTAAAGCCCTAAATCCCTAAAACCCTAAACCCCTATAACCCAAAGCTCGGAACCCTAAAGCCTTGAACCCCTGTAAACCCAAAGCACTGAACCCTAAAACCCTGAACCCTAAACCCTATAGCCCGAAGCCCTAAACCCTTTGCCGCCATCTCAGCCCTTCCTGGACAAGATGCTGAATGCAGACATGAAGCTTGGGCGGAATCGGTTCGAGCCTGCAAGGCTAGGGTTGATAATGTAAATCTTAGGGCTCCTTTAAAGGGATCTATATTAGGGTTTAGGGTTGATGCAGGATTCATATCACCAACCGTATCATGGGTCAGCTTGCAGTAAACCCCTATGGTAACCCTGCTTAGTAACTGTTGGGATCCGAGGTTTGGGGTTTAGGGTTTTGTAGTAACCCTTTATAGTAGGCCCTTTTAGGAACCGCAACAACGGATATCTTTTCGCTGAGAGTTACTTAAAGGATCATGGTACTTAGTAACTAGGCTTATAAATAAGATAGCTATACTTCGAGTTACTTATAACCTCAATTAGGGGACTTACTATAACCTTACTTACTAAGTCCCCTGATCCTCCAAGCTGAGGAAGTACTGCCGCATCCAGAAGTTTGCCCCTGACCAGAACAGCCTGGACATGAAGAAGCGAGCCGCTCAGGAACTGTACGGTTGCGAAGGGTTTACGGTGCTAGGGTTTGGGGTTTGGGGCTTAGGGTCTTAGGGTCTTAGGGTCTTAGGGTCTTAGGGTGTGAGAGGTGGGGTTTAGGGTTTGAACTCTTAGGATCATCTTGGTTTTACATGTCGCGCGATGCCAAGGGCCATCATGCCCTACTATGCGAAGCTGGTGTCTGCCTACAGACGGGAACTCAGATTGATCTGCTGACCCCAGTTGTGATCAAACTAACGACTACCTTGAATTTGGAGGCCTCAACCCTAAACTCCCAAACCACGCAACCCCTGAAACCTCTAAACTCGTAAACCCGCCCTAAACCCTAAACCCTAAACCACTAAGCCGCTAATACCCCTAAGCCGGACCCTCAACCCCCAGACTGCTAAACCCTCAACATCTCTAAACCCGTAAACCCCGAAACGCAGAACCCCTCAACAACCTCAACACCTCTGAGCCATCAAAGCCTCAACACCCTTAAACCCCCTAAGCCACTGCGTTCCGAAACCTTTAAAGCCATAAATCTCTAATCACCGAAGCCCTAAATCCTAATCAGTGAAACCTTAAACCCTAAACCCAAAGGACCCTGTTAACTCTCAACACCAGTGGCGCGTTCAGGGCAGATGTCCAGCTGGGCGGAGCAGCATCAGATCTTTGGAGCCCCTTTGCTGGGTTTAGGGTTTGTAGGGTTTTTAGGGTTTGTTACGGTTTGTGGCGCTTATAGGGTTTATAGGGCTTAGGGTTTAGGCTTAAGGGTTTAGGGTTTAGGGGCAAGGATCGGAAGAGGCACGTTCTTTCAAGGTGTTTACACGGTTTTCGTTTAAGGCATACCATCCAGGTTCGAGTTTTTCGGGTTTTGTGCTTTCTATATCATAGGGTTTCAAGGCTTCCTGTTATCTTTTGCTCTGCAGGGCAATTTTCAGTGATCTGTAAGGACTCTATAGGGGTTCACGGTCTCGCGGTCCAGGATTTTGGTCTTAGGACTGTTCTTTTTTCGGTAGAGGCTGAGGGTTTAGTGTTTCGACTATGTGGTTCGAGTCTAGACTGAGGGTGTGCGGTTTACGACTTTACGAAGGTCAGGTTTGCCGTTCAAACGTTTAGACATGCAAAGAGAACCCTGTTTGCCCTGGCGCACTATGGGATTCTTTACGATGCAGGTTGTGAGGATCTGTCGTTTTATTGTGTGATGATTTACGTCCGGAGTTTCGTGTGCCGCGTAGTCTAGGTCTAAACATGATTTGATTCACCTGAAGTACCTTGGGGCATGCGACTCTGTCTCATTTGTTATGTGTCTCTAGTCTGGTAAAGGATATTTTGTCCCGTTTGGCACCACCACTGTGATCGGCTTCTGTTCTTCTATGGCCTGCTATGCCATCCCAGTCTGCATTTGGCAAAGCATGTCATTGCCTTGTATACGGTATGCTGTAGATGTGGGTTGCCCAAGCTCCTCGAATCTACTTTTCATGTTTGAGGCCATGACATATGTTATGTTTGTATAGCATATGTCATAGTCAGTGTACTATCCATGCATACATACATCCTTGGATGCATACATAAATACATCCACACATACATACATACATGTATACATACTTAATTGCTTACGTCCTTACTTTCTTACTTCCTTGCTTGCTTACTTATTTACTTACTTGCCTGTTTACCTACTCAAGTAATTCGGTATTCTCCCCTACTCGATCAGACCTGCTACGTCGTAGCCCATCAATCCATAAGCTACAGCATAGCATACGCTGTATGCCGCGGTTTAGGGGTTTCGGGTTTAAGGTTCAGGAGAGGGCATCAACCCAGAGCTTAACCTGTGGCACTTGTGTTCTACAGTCTCGTGCACCATCGCACCAGATGCTATCGTGGAGCACCAAAACCACAAAGCCTAAATCCCGAAACCTAAACTTCTAGAGCCCTTCTAAAGACTCCTGGAACCCTAAACCCCGAAAACCGCAAAACCCTACACCCTCGGCCCTTAAACCCCTTGCCGTTGCCCAGGCCAGCCTCCACTCTTTGCAGGTTTCGCTGGTGCGAGCCAACGTCTTCGATCGCTACGTTCCGGCCAGCTGCTTCATGTTTGGGGCTGTTGCACCGGTGTTTGCAGGGCTCTGTACGGTTTTCAGGAATTGAAAGGGTTCTACAGCAGGGGTTTCTATGGGCCTTTTTTTGGCTCAGGTTTTGGGGTCGTTCTTGTTAATGGCTGACGTTCAAGTTATCAAATTTAAGGAACCCCTCTTTATTTACCATAAGTTCTATGGATCCCCATTATGGTACCAGAATACCATAAGAAGGAAGCAATAGTATTTACCACAGATCCCCCAGTATGATACCATGATAGGGATCCATAGGAAATAAGATGGCCATAAGAAGGAAGCCAATGGTATCCACAAAAAGGCGCTATTGTGGTAAGTTTAATTTGAGTTCCTTATCAACCCTAAATCCCCTGAGCCCCCTAAGCCCCAAAAAAATCCACACTCCAAACCCCAAACCCTAAATCCGAAACCCTAAACCTTAACCTCAGACCCTAAACGTTAAACCCTAAACCTTAAACACTCATTCCTTAACAAGAGCCATCTGGAGGTCGAGTACTTCTCCAGCATGGCCTTTGCGGCCCACGCGGTGGAGCGGAAGTTTGTGGAGGAGCTCTGGCGTGATCGGGGGCCTTACTTGAAGGCTCATGGGACTTAGTAAGTAAGGTTATAAGTAGGTTATAATTAGGATAACCCCACTTAGGGGACTTATAACCCTTATTATAACCTACTTACTAAGTCCCATGATCTTCTAAGTAATATTTACCTATACTGGGGTTCTTCTTAGGGTTCCTTTAAACGGGTCTATAAGGGTTACTACAAGGATCTTTCAGGGTACCTTTATGTAGGGATTTAGGGTTTTAGGGCTTTAGGGTATTCGGAAGTAACGCCTCAATGAAGGGGCTGTCTTCTGCAGAATCATCAAACCTTAACCCCCGAAGGCCTAAAGGACAAAAACTAAGGCACAAACACTCAGATCCTAAACCCTAAGTCACAAATTCCTAAATCCTCAACTATTCTAATTATAAGTTAAGGCCCCTATACTTTACCCCCATAATACCCCTTATAGTAATCCTTATAGACGCATTGCTTCGAAGGAGATCAAGGTGAAGAGCGACTCTTACCTCATCAGGTGCCTCCAGCGATTCGGGTTTAGGGTTTAGGGTTTACGTGGGTTTAGGGTTCAGGGTTTAGGTGGGTTTAGGGTTTAGGGTTTAGGTGGGTTTAGGGTTTATGCGAGAGAACCTTGTTGTACGATTTACGACTTAAGCCTATATAAGATCTATACGGTTCAGGGTCTAGGATTTAGGTTCAAAGCTTTAGGGTTTAGGATGTAGGGCTTGGGGTTTGGGTTTTTTTGGGTTCAGGGGGTTCGGGGGTTTAGGGTTGCTAAGGAACTTGATCCCTAAACTCTAAACCCTAACTCCAAAGCCAACGCCCCCCAAGCTCAACGCCAAGCACTGAAGCCCAAAACTCTGAAGCCTAAACCCTATTAGATCTAACCTCTAAACCCTTAAATCCTAAACCCCAAGTGCTAAAGCGCAAAGCCTTTGCTGCTTCCAGTGCTTCGTCGCCCAGTTCGGCTCAAGAAGCGGGCCTGTCTTCCTCCCTCCCACCTCCCATCGCTCTGAGCTGCTTCCGGTCGGCTTCCCTGTTTTTTTGGGAGACAACTGAAAAGGGATCCTTCTGAACCTTATGGCTCTCTTCAAAGGGACCTTGTTGAAGTGGCCTATATCCCCAAGGCTCCCCCCAATCCTAACTCCTGCAGTTTAGAGCAGTCCTGAGCCTACCGAGGACCGAGAATGGGTGGACAAATCTGCAGGCAGGAGCCTCTGACCCATCAACTCCTAAACCCTAAACCCTAACTTCAACCCTAAGCCCCTAAACCCTAAACCCTCAACTCCTAAACCCTAAACCCTAACTTCAACCCTAAGCCCCTAAACCTTAAACCCTCAACTCCTAAACCCTAAACCCTAACTTCAACCCTAAGCCCCTAAACCTTAAACCCTCAACTCCTAAACCCTAAACCCTAACTTCAACCCTAAGCCCCTAAACCCTAAACCCTCAACTCCTAAACCCTACACCCTAACTTCAACCCTAAGCCCCTAAACCCTAAACCCTCAACTCCTAAACCCTACACCCTAACTTCAACCCTACGCCCCTAAACCCTAAACCCTCAACTCCTAAACCCTAATTTCAACCCTAAGCCCCTAAACCCTAAACCTTCAACTCCTAAACCCTAAACCCTAACTTCAACCCTAAGCCCCTAAACCCTAAACCCTCAACTCCTAAACCCTAAACCCTAATTTGAACCCTAAGCCCCTAAACCCTAAGCCCTCAACTCCTATAGCCTGAAGCCTTAACAGGAAAACCCTCAGATCCTAAACGGTCAATCGGACCTGTGTTTTTGTGATTTCCGGTCAATCGGACCCTGGTTTAGGGTTCAGGGGTGTTCAGGGCCTAGGCTTCAGGGTTTAGGGTTGAGTTTGCTGTCAGGTCAATGTTTTAGCACTTGCGCTAGAGGTACAGCAAGGACATAACCCACAATATTTGATTGATTGCAATTTTGTTGGCCTAGAAGAAGGATGGAAACCAGCTCTATGGATAATGCGACAACTGTTCATTTCTTAATGTTATGGGAACTCTGGGCGGGCGGGTGTTTTCTAGATTCAAGAGAACGAGCTTGACTGGAGATGGCTCGACCTGGAGCTGCTGAACCCTAAACCCTGGACCCTAAAGCCCAAGCCCAACAAACCCCGTAAGCCCTTTTAAACCAAAAACCCCTAAGCCTTGAACCGTAAACCCTGAACCCCTAAACCCTATACCGTAAGCCCTCTAAGCCCTCTAAGCCCTCTAAGCCCCAGACGCCTTAGGCCCTAAACCCTACCTGTAGCCGAAAAGACCTACCTTTTTAAGGAGCTATATATAGAAACCATAATAAGGAACCCTAAAAAGGTAGGTCTTTCCGGCTACAGGTAATGATCCCTGAAGTGAGAGGCAGATCTGCAATCGGCCGAGCGAGACCGGCGATGCCGTCGACCAGCTCAAGGCCTTGGCGCTTTTAGCTCAGGTACAACCCACTGAAAACTCTTACTTAAAGGATCAGGGGACTTAGTAAGTAAGGTTATAAGTACCCTAATTGGGGTTATAAGTATGTATGCGTTATTTATAACCCTAGTTACTAAGTCCCGTGATCCTTTAAGTACCATCAACGTTCAACAATGTCAAGTACACCTTACCTAAACCGGTACAGCCCTTTAAACCCTTGAGAGATCCTTTAAAGGTAGCTTGGGGTTCGTGCTTTCCCAGAGACTCCAATATCCCGTAAATATGGAATATGCCTCGAAACATATTCGGGGTCCTACTATAATTCAACATATACTTCTTTATTAAAAGATGTTGAAGTCCCTGGGTTAGGGTTTAGGGATTAGGGTTTAGGATAGGGGGCCTTCAAGGGGATCCTTTAACGGTTCTGTGATTGTTCCCTTAAAGGGGATGTATTCGGAATTCTGTTATTAAAAAGACCCATGGGGGACCCTGCTAACGAACCCCATAGCACCCTTAAAGGATCTACATTCTAAGCTTCTGTTTAAGGGTACTATGGGTTCGTGAAGAGTGTCACCCTTAAAGTATTATTGTTTGCAAGAAATCGGGCTGCCATGGTTGTCGTGGCATCATTCTTTTGCCACATGTGACAGACGATTGTGGGGCCCGTGTTCAATTTTCCCCTTGTGATCATTTCCATTATTTTGGGGTGCCATTGTGTAATCACCGTCGTATGATCATTCATCAATAACGGGTTGTTGTTGGTACTGTTGTGCATGTTATTACTAAAGCGATTTGGGAACGTTCAACCTGGTTAAGTCATTTGTTGGGAGCACTCAACCCCGGCTAAGTCTTTTGAATCGGTATGCGACTCAAACACGGGTTCCTGAGGCCTAAACCCTCTAAGCCTGTAACCCCTCCCTCCAAGAGACCCTAGACCCAACACCCTCAGACCCCACTTGAAAGCTCATGGGACTGAGTAAGTAAGGTTATAAGTAGGTGAAAATTAGGATAACCCCACTTAGGGGAGTTATAACCCCAATTATAACCTACTTACTAAGTCCCATGATCCTCAAAGCAGAAACCTGTAAGCTCTGCAGAGCAAGCCCCCCGCAGGTGGTGTCGGCGCCCCCCGTGGTCTTGGGTGGCTTGACTGAAGCCAAATACCCAATAAGACTCTGTAAAGCCCTTCTTAGTCCCTAAACCCTACACCCTAAACCCTAAACCAGTATGCGTATGGAGAAAGGGCCACTACACTTTAAAAACAAAAAACCCTAAACCATTCTTTACAAGTCCCTTAAGCCTTCGTGTTAAAGCCGCTAGCAAGACAAAGAGCCTCGGTGTCTGCGAAGCTTCCAGGTCAAGAAGGGAGCTTTAAAAAGAAGCTTCAACGGCTCCTGAAGGGAAGCCTGTATAGATCCTAAACCCCGAAACCCCTGAACCCCTAAACCCTAAACCCTAAACCCCGAAACCCCTGAACCCCTAAATCCTAACCTTGAAAGCCTAAACCCAAGACTTAAAGTCTCCAGACCCAAAACTTTAAGCCCTCCCCCAGACCCCCGGGAGGATCCAAAAAATAGATCCCTTAATGGGGGTTCCTACAAAGTACCCTTAGTAGTACAGGGCCCGAAATTAGGGGATCGACTTTCTAGATTCTCCCGGCCCTAAACCTTAAACCCTAAACCTTGAACCCGAAACCCTAAACCCCTAAACCCGGGTCCAGGTCCTGAGGAGACGAAGCAGCTCTACACCCGAGCCAAAGCAGCAGCGGAGCGGGTTGAGACAGCTCCGCCCCACGAGAAGGCCGGGCTTTCTATGACACATCGCTCTCTATAGCTATGCGTGTGTGCGTATATGCATGTACATGTGTAATACACGCTTGCATATACATACTTGCATATTTACATTCATATGTATATGCATATGTGTCTGCACTAATACGCATGGGGTTTTAGATTGTGGCCGGCAGGTGCTCGCTCGGGAGTGTGCGATTTGAAGATCTCGGGGTTCAAGCTCGCAGCCTTCCGTAGGCAAAGCGGTCAGCCCAAGACCCAAAACACCAAAAACCCAGGGTTGAGGATGTAGGGTTTTCAAACCCTAAATCCTTACGCTCGGTTCATGGTAGCTCGTGCGCCGGAGAGAACGAGCACACCACAGCTTCAAAAACCAGCTTAGGGATTGAGGGTTTAGGGCATGGGTTTCTAAACCCTCAACCCTTGAGAGTGCACTCCACTATATAGTGGGCCTGATCGCCTGACGAGAAACTCCCGACCACACCCTTCAGAAGAAACTGCAGTGGGTGCCCTTACGGAGGCTGCTGCCTGGCAAGAGTGCAACAAGACGTGGGACCAAGTCATGGAGGCCCCTTTGAGCATTGGCGTGCCATGCATACTCTAGGGGCCTGAATAGTTACCTATGCCCGTCCTTAGGGTTCCTTAAAGGGATCTATAGTAGGGTTCTACAGTTTGGTGTAGGGGTTTTGAAAGCTACAAGATACAGGGTTCAGGGTTCTTATACTAGAAGATACAGGGTTCAGGGGTTTTCATGCTATAAGATACAGGGTTCAGGATCTGTATGCTATAAAACACCACAAAGTTGCACGATTCTAATTTTTTCAGGCAGATTTATTGTTGTGTAGGTGCAGTACCAATGCGGATCTCTTGTCAAGGAGTTTAGTGTAAGTTACGCTGATGAGGAGATATGATAGCCATAAACTGAAAGCTCACGAGGGGCGCATTATAGCAACTTGAAAAACTATGACCCTTAACCCCCAAGCCCATAAGAAAGCCATTCAAAAGCGCCCGTAATGTAGCTTATAAGCCTGTGCAACCCCTGTAGATGCTGTATGAATGTAGATGCGGTATGAAATCCTCTAAACCCTGCGATTGTAATGTCGTCTTTTGACGAGAGCCCAGCAGGCCCCAGGCTGAAGGCCTGCAACCTAAACTCTTACCCCTAAGCCCAAATCATAAGCCCAAAGCGTAACACGTAAGACCCTAAGCCGATCTAAGCCGCCTAAGCCCTAAACCCTACCCTAAACCGCTAAACCCTGAAAGCCTGAACTGTCTCCACACCCAAAGCTTTTGA